CCCGCACCGCGCTCAGCCAGTGAGCAGGAACCAGTCTCTACATGGGATCCGAACCCTCGGCGGGAGCACCGCCATGCTCCCAAGCGTCGCACTCTCCAGTGCGCCACCGGGCCGGCCCTACCGGTCATCTTTTTAAAAAAAGAAAGAAAGAAAGAAACTGTGTGATTCTTGATCTATTTTTTCCCCCCTTGGGGATGAATTTGTGTTATACATAAAATTTTTTGCATAAAGGGATCTTTGTTACTAGTTCTGATGTTGTATTATTGTCAAACAGATAAAATGCAACTGAATTCTATGGATAAATAAGCACTGTAACATATGTCCAAAACTCATGCCTGATGTTAAAATAAAATCACTGCTGTCTAAAGTGGTCAGAATCAACCATTTTAATAAGAAAACAACGACATGTTAAAATGCTAGCCTAATAACCCTGAAACCATGAGATAACACAAGCCATAGATCAAAATGAATTCCTTAAGGCTACCTCTTGGCTCCAGTGCACACCATTTTCCCAGAACTGAAAATCAGTGCTGTGGTTCGTGGCTCTCTTATTCTCATGATTACAGCAGCAAACCGCTAAAATGGTCAGGAAAAAATCATTAGTGAGGTCACAACAAACTAGACAATGTCAAAGAACATCACAACTAGTGGGAAGGACCTGGGACATATAGTTATATTTGTCCTGTATGCCTGTATAGGTTTTGCTTACATTGCATGTAACAAGTATTCCTTTGCGTAGGAAACAGAACAAATTAACCAGTTGTGACTAATGAATAAAGTATACCAAGATCTGTGTATTTTTCACATTATGCATTCTACCAGGGAAGATAAGTAATGTTTACAAAATGTGCTTCTTTAATTACATTCTCAATAAGTACCAGTGCCTCCATTTCTACCTCATATTTGCTGCTGATCATAACTAACTTCTCTAACTATAACTTTTCTGCTTTTTTAATATGAATTTTTAGGCAAATAAACTGACGAGCCTTTTCCTCCAGGGCAATTAATAAATCAGATTACATGCATATTAATATGTAATGAAGTGAAATCCTTTTTCCAATTTGCATTTGAAAACAATATTAATGTAGTACATACTTACATAGATGCAAAACAAGAAAAAGGTCAATTTTTTCTTTTATTTTCTGCTTCTTAATGTTTTAAACATGTTGGCTCTGAGAAACTTTTCCTTGCTAAAATTGTAACTCAGGGAAATGGGTTGAATTAATGATCTCAGTTACTAGATTACATAATAAAAAGCAAAGCATTACTTTTAAGTAACTCAGAAACTTTAGTTTATAATTACACAAGAAAAAATCCATATAATATTTCTAATCAAGATGACTCTGACAAATTAGATTGATTTAACAATTTTAGTTAATAAACTGTTCTATGTCTTCTCTGTGATTTTACCACCGTGTAAAAATGCTATCAATATATTCTACACAAATCCCAGGAAAAGACTATTTTGAATTTACTAAATTTCTATTTTTATTGGTAAGAAAATTAATATCACTTGATTAAAAATTATGAAATTATATATTCAACTAAATAAAATTATGATAGATGAGAGATTAATACTAATAATGCTACATGTCATACATTCTCACTGTAAGTGGTTACAGACCCTCGGTTACCTTTGTGAACTTAGATGCTACATGTCATACATTCAGTACCAAATCAAAAAATGTAGATATCAGTAATAGTAGTTTGTAAATAGGTTTTATGGTTGATTGGAGCTTTTCTTTGTTAAAAGACCAATGCTAAAATATAGTCCAAGTTTCCAAAAAGAGCTTTATTTTCCTTGGCCTAAAGTCTTACTCCTAGCCCTAATGACAAGATGATCTATACCTCAGAATCCTCATGAATTCTCACTGTATGAGAATTGGCCTGTCTCCCCCTCTAACAGTCTCAACCCATTACACTCTGACACTGTCAAGTACCATCAAACTAACATCCTGTATAGTCATATGCCCAATAGATGTAAGCTACATTTATGAAAAACACATCACTGCACACACAGGCAGCAGACAGTGCAATGAGACATCAAGAGAAGTCAGCCTCAAAACTGCCCAGGATAAAATGTTTCAACCGTTCTTAACAAAAATACTATTTTCAGGCATCAGGATACAGACGTACTGATTCCTTCCCCAGTTTACATGTAGTACTCAGAATCCTAACCGGGTATCAATTCTGCCTGGAGATCGACCCCAAGTCTCACTAAAAGGCCTCCAAGAAGGCAACAACTCCTGAAAACACAGCTTCCTCCCAACACCTCTGAATCAAGGCCCAGGACCGTACAGACTTAAGTTTCATGGTTTAATGCCTCTTTTTTCTCTCACTTCTTCCCCTTAATATTAACTCTTTTCGTTGTTTGCTCTACCATTCAATTTATTATCTAGCTTTTCCAAGCACTGTAAACAAAACTTCAGGTAACTTATAAAAAGGATACAAAAATATGGATTTCAATGGTTTGTATACCAATTTCTACCCTGGCTATCACTTTCTGAACTAGAATACGTGATCTGGACTATGGCTCAAAAAAAGCAAATGAAAGAACTCAAGCTTTAGACAAATCTCATAAATTCACTGGCTAAGAAAGTCCCAGATAACAGAACTGTCCACAACTATTCAATGATCAGCCAAGAGTTAATTCACCTGCATAAATATTTCAGAGTGAGAAAAAAAAAAGCATAAAAGTCAATTAATCAATTGAGAAAAAAACTCGGTTAAACTAAAAAAGTGAACATGAAGTAGGTTCCACATACTATGATTCTTAAAATTGTTTTGCTCTTTTCCCCTTCCACCAGTGTCTAATATCCAGGTACTTAAATGCTGTTACACAGCCATGTTCCAAGATGACATTCAGCTAATGAAATTATGAGACACCTCATGGTCAACCTGGACTGGGAGTTTAACCAAAAGGAGGGAACTGAGATACAGTGCTAAAGGAAATGGTGCTAACATGGCACAACTAAGACAGAGGCACTAACACAGACACTGACAGACATTACACAGAGACAGCTGCCACACACACACATAGGTAAGTTCTCAAGGTTTCTGGAGAATCCATAAATAACTGCAATTGTGTTCTCTGATGACCCACCTAGCCGCCCAGGGGCACAATAGCCTAATTGTCCTCTTTGCTAGCTACCAGCTATCAGCAGCTTCCCCAAGGAATGAAAACCAAAGATTGTACTTTAAGAACTGTCCCAAGTTTTTCCTTGTGCCCACTCTTTTTCTTATATAAAATTTATTTTTCCTTTGTTAGATGAAATAAATTTAATATTGGGCTCCCTCATATAAAAGTTTACATGTGTTTGAGTGGTTCTTTGATAGATGCCCCACGTTGGGAGAGCTGTATTCTGCAGGATCAACTCTTCAACCTGATCATCTCCTTCCAGACTCAGATACCTCAATTCTGTCTGGGCCTCTTAAGAATGTCCACGTGTTTTTAAATGTAAATGTTCACTATTTTTTAGAAAATATCTTTTCTACTGGTGCAAGCACGAAAGCCTTTAACGTACTCAGGCTGCTAACTTAAAGTGAGAAATCTTGTGGTATTCCCCCATCCCCCAGTCTTTTTATTATAAAAAAATTTAAAAAGAAATTTATACAAAGATACAAAAATATAATAAACCACCTAGTACTTATTATCCATCTTTAACAATTATTAACTCTTGGCAAATCTTGTTTCATCCAAGTGCCCCCATCCCAATTCTCCCACAGGACGATTCTGAAGTAATTCCAGACATCATGTCATTCTATCCCTATACAGTTTCCAAAACAAAAATAGGATCATAGTACATATTGTGTTCTCCAATTTCATGTGCATCCCATCACAATGACTATATAAACTTAGTTTATCCTGTGGACTGCTGTACTTCTAGGACTGTTACGTTGTAGATACTCAGTAAAATATGAATTGAATTAGCAAACTTCTTCTAGTCACTAAACACCAAAGATAAAAAACAATACACATTTTACTTTTTAGATCTTCATTTTGTTGTTGTCAAGAAACTTAAGCAAAATATAATACAAACTTTTTGATCTATGGAATTTTAGAAGTAAATTCCTGTTTTATTAAATAGTTTAAAATACATTAAAATAGCTCTAACCTTGGGATTATATTCAGCATTTCGCGCACGAAGTGCAATGGTCTTTAGGTCAAGTTTACAACCAAGATTCACCGTGGATACAATGTTTCTGCAAGGAATTTGAAAAGAAAACATGGTTATTTAAATTATTTAACTTTTACAAGATGAGGTGTTAGATGATTATCTAAAATCTGATTCTTTCACTGGGCTTTAGTTTTAAAAAATTGCTGATTAACAAGTATCACACACCATGCTAACCATTTTACATAGATTATCTCACTTAATACTTACAATGCACTATTCTTATATTCCCATGTTCAGACAAAGAAGCTGAGGTTTAAGGGTAATGTAACTTGCTCAGGATGCACATGGCTCCTAAGTGGTAAAGCAAAGATTTGAGTCTGTCTGTTCCCAGAGCCATGCCCTTGGCCTTCATTTAAATCAACTCAATTCTCATCCATGAGCTCTGAAATACCACCACCACCCCACTCTGAAAAGCCACTATTTATAATGAATACAAGCAAGCATGGACTTTCCTAGTTCTCTCAAAATAAGCATCTTTTGGAAGAATAAGAATTCAGTATCTTTGGCAAAGTTTAAAAAACCTGCTTTTGGGCCGGCCTGTGGCTCACTCGGCAGAGTGCGGTGCTGATAACACCAAGGCCGCAGGTTCGGATCCCATATAGGGATGGCCGGTTTGCTCACTGGCTGAGCATGGTGCTGACAACACCAAGCCAAGGGTTGAGATCCCCTTACCGGTCATCTTTTTAAAAACAAACAAACAAACAAACAAACAAACAAACAAACAAACAAACAAACAAACAAACAAACAAACAAACAAACAAACAAACAAACAAACAAACAAACAAACAAACAAACAAACAAACAAACAAACAAACAAACAAACAAACCTGCTTTTCTTCTAATCTCAGTAAATCAGAATAAATAGATACCAGCAGCAGCCATCTTGGTCCAATGGACCCTTTTCATTTTTTACTATTCCTAAAACCATATTATGAGTAACTTATAAAGAATAAATAAATAAACAAATAATAAAGATATAGTAAAAAACAACTTTATTAGGAAGAAGGAGAGCACAGCCACGGTCCTAGGCAGGAGCCAGGGGCAGCATCCCCTGTCCAGAAGCAGGCAAGGAGCATGCTGGAAATACCACTTCCACGCAGGTGGCCCATGACAGCCACGGCTGCTGCAAAAGTGGCTCAAAGCCACCGCAGTAGCCACAGATGCCATGCAGGCAGCCTGCCAGACACCTGACTGCATTGACACAAGGAGAGTCACCAGCAGAGACCAGAACAAGACGAGGACATCTCTCTCCTGAAAGCCCACTCCATAGAAACAAATGCTCTACCAGATGATTAGACATCAACGTACAGATACTAGAAATACAAAAATCCAAGAAAATATGACACCACCAAAAGAATACAGTAATTCTCAAATACTAGACCCTGTAGAGCAGAAAAGCCTTGAAATGACTGAAAAGGAATTCCAAGCAACAATTTTAAGCAAACTCACTGAGATACAAGAAGACTCAGACAACATAATGAAATGAGAAAAAATATCCAGGATATGAAGGAGGAAATTTACAGAGGTTAAGACATTAAAAAGAATGTATCAGAAATCATGGAACTGAAAGATTCACTCAACAAAATAAAAAACACAACTGAGAGCTTAAGCAGCAGGCTAGAACAAGCAGAAGAAAGATTTTCTGGTCTTGAAGATAGCCTTTTCGAAATAACCCAGGCAGACAAAAAAGAAAAAGAAAAAAGAACTTAAAAAACTGAAGAAAATCTAAGAGCCAGTAGACAGTCTTAAGCACACAAACATTCAAATCATGGATGTTCCAGGAGGGGAAGAGAAAAGAAATGGCACGGGCCAGCCCGTGGCTCACTCGGGTGAGTGCGGTGCTGATAACACCAAGGCCACGGGTTCGGATCCCATATAGGGATGGCCGGTTGCTCACTGGGTGAGCGTGGTGCTGACAACACCAAGTCAAGGGTTAAGATCCCCTTACCGGTCATCTTTTATTTAAAAAAAAAAAAAAAAGCTATATACACTTCCTATTCACTGATACCTGGAAACATTTGCCTGTTTTCCAGCAGAAGAAATTTTTTCCTGCCCCTGTACCCCACACATATAGGACCCACTTCGTTTAGACAGAAAAACCCATTTAGGACAAGAACAGCCATCCTCATCTGTGGAAGGACAGATATCTTCAAAGATTTATCTGCAGCCCCCACAGTAAAAAAGAAAAAGATTACTTGAACTATAGAACTAAAGAACTAAAATATCCCACAGGAAAGAGACTACATTAGGTTGTGATTTAGCAAATCAGCTACAGGAAAATGTCGTAGTAACAATAAAATCTGATTGAATTTTACTGGCCCAAGTATATAAACACAAGCAGCCACATTTCTGAAAATGTTAAGAGCGCCTTCTACTGACGGCACTGACTCACAAAGACAGCTTTGCCTCCCTTTCTCAAGTGAGATAAAGCAAATTACATAATTACCATTAGTGCCACTCTCTTAAATAAACCAATCCACCTGAAAACAAAGAACAGCAACAGAGCTCTAAGGGATCCCTCTAGAGCAAGGGAGAGGAGACACACACCACCAAGTACTTACTGCAGCTGTGGTACAATCCCAGAGCTCTCAGAGGCTGGTGTGGCAGGAGTAATGGGGGTCATGGGGGTCATGGGGGAGGGATACAGGGGAGTGGTGCCCGGCAAGGGTGCAGTTGTAAGAGTCTGTGAATGGAAGAGCTGAGGTGTTTGGCCTGAGGCACCCTGTGTTGCCTGCTGGGATGTTGACTGCTGAACTGCTGCTGCTGCAGTGGCTGCTGCCTGCTGCTGCTGCTGCTGCTGCTGTTGCTGCTGCTGCTGCTGCTGCTGCTGCTGCTGCTGTTGCTGCTGCTGTTGTTGCTGCTGCTGTTGCTGCTGTTGCCTTTGTTGCTCTTCCAAAATAGACAGACTATTGGTGTTCTGAATAGGCTGTGGAGTCAGTCCTGTGCCATAAGGCATCATTGGACTAAAGATGGGGATTCCAGGAGTCATGGCACCCTGTGGAAAGCAAGGAGAACAATGGGTTAGGCTGACTGGTGTTGAGTTTTTGTGGGACTTGCCTGGTAGAACAGCAGATGAGATGTGTAAAGACAAATGCCTTCTGAGCATAATGGGTTATTAAACATTATTACGGAGGAATTTGCTATTCTTATGCACAGCACTTTCTTCTTCAATATAGCATAGTAGATAAGAGCTTAGGATTTGGGACCCAACTCTGCTACTTATTACATGTGAGAACTTGAGGAAGTTGCCTAACCTTTCAGGCATATCTAGGGGATAATAATGGTCTAAGATCATTAGAAAGAATGAGGGAGATAACTACAGAGAGCACACATTCCTATTTAAACTATTATCCTAGCATCTGGGTAGTTCCCCATTTCACTCTCAAAGTATCTGTCCCAGTCTGGATGATAAATTATATAGTTACCCTACAGATATTCACTTAACAGTGTTCAACACAATGATATGCATATAAAAAGTACTGAAGTGTTAGCATTAGAACACGTTTCAAAAAGGCTGATCATATGCTCTCCCAAAAGTGTAAATCAACAAAATCTATCAAATAGTATCAGTTTACTTTTCTATAATGCTTCTGAACTTTTCCAGACACTGTTACATTCATTAATTTATCTATCTCTCATGGCAGCTCTTGGGAAAAGGGAAAACAGAGCTGTTCTTCACATATTAATGATAAGAAAACTGACACCCAAAGAAGTTAAATGACTTGACTAAGATCACACAGCTCATAAGTAAATGAGCCAAGATCACAATCAAGTTTTCCTGAGACCCAGCCCAATGCTTTCCCCATGGCACCTAAATCTGCAGACCCCATGGAGCCTACAGAGAGCTCATAATGGCTTTGTGAACCTCTGAACATTATATGCAATATTCTGTGTTAATTGTCTGTGAGAGTCCACGGTTTTCATTAGAGTATCAAAAATGTGTAAGACCCCAAAAAAGAGCCACAATCCTTTCCCACTTCCACCACTTTATTGGGCCGAAAGCACAAGCTAAAAACATCTAAGATATTTAAATTGTTTCACTCACATAGTGGCAGAAAGAATATGAAAGAAGAAAATATATACTATACCCCTAACAGTACAGGTATTATTCTATTATGTCTGTCACTTATTTCTACAAAAATACTGGCTAGAAAAAAATTGAGGTTACATCAGTTTAAAATACTAAGACTAAGGTTTTAAATGGTCTGTCTTACTTTAGGTCATATACAAAAATTAACCCAAAATGAATTACAGACACACATGTAAAGCTAAAACTACAAGGAATAAATCCTTATGACTTTGGGTAGACAAAGATTTCTTAAGACACAAAAGCACTAACCATAAAGAAAAATTGATAAATTAGACTTCAGAAAAAATTAACTTTTGCTCTTTGAAAGACACCATTAAGAAAATTAAAAGGCAAGCCACAGACTGGGAGAAATCATCTATAATACATACATCTGAATATGGACTCGTAAAGAGAATACATAAAGAGCTCTTACAGCTCAATAAAGGAAGATGAACAAATAAACCATTAAAAAGTGGGCAAAAGATATGAAGGACATTTTACAAGTGAAAACATATAAATAAACAATAAGCACTTGACAAGACGCTCAGGATCATTATTCATCAGGAAAATAAAAATTAAAACCACAGTGACATACTACTAAGCAACCATGAGAATAGCTCAAGGTAAAAAGACTGACAACCCTAAGTTGGTGAAGATGTGGAACAGCTAGAAATCTCCCACACTGCTGGTAGAACTGCAGAACAGTACAGCCACTTTAGAGAACAGTTTGGCAGTTTTTTATATAGCAACGTTAAACACACTTACATATGTACTAGCAATCCCACTCCTAAGTATTTACCCATGAGAAATAAAAGCACATTGTACACAAAGTCCGTACACAAATGTTGATAGTTCCTTTATTCCTAATGGCCCCAAACTGGAAATAACCCAAATGCCAGCAACTGGAAAATGGATAAACTGTGGTACATCCACACAATGGAGAACTACTTGGCAATAAAAAGGAACTAACTTTTGATATACAAATGTTATACTGGACAAAGAAGACAGACACACACAAAAAAGCATATGAAATTCGAGAATAGGCAAAACCCATCTTTAGTGTCGAAAAGCAGATTCACTAGTTAGCTGGGGCTAAGAAAGTGACTGCAGGGCCGAGCCCATGGCGCACTCAGGAGAGTGCGGCGCTGGGAGCGCAGCAGCGCTCCCGCCGCGGGTTTGGATCCTATATAGGGATGATCCAAGCGCTCACTGGCTGAGCGCGGTGCAGCCAGTCTCAAGACAGACAAAAAAAAAAGTGACTGCAAAGGGGCAGGAAGGGACTGTCTGGGGTAACTGAAATGCTCTATAATTTACACAGGTGCATTTAATTATCAAAACATACACTTAAAATGGGCATTTTTACTGTATGTAAATTACAGTTCAACAGAGGATACTGAAAATTTGTTTTATAGACAAATACAAGTACATAATTTACCTTTCAAACAAACTCCTCAAATAAAACACTATTGTGTCTATTAAAAGCCTAACAGAACTTCTCAACAAAATAAGGGAGGCAGGGCCAGCCTGTGACTCACTCGGTAGAGTGCGGTGCTGGTAACACCAAGGCCACGGGTTCGGATCCCATATAGGGATGGCCGGTTCGCTCACTGGTTGAGCATGGGGCTGACAACACCAAGTCAAAATAAGGGAGGCTTTCTTCATGTGTCTGTTGGCCATTCGTATATCTTCCTTTGAGAAATGCCTATTCAGCTCCTTTGCTCATTTTTTAATTGGGTTATTTTTTTTTTTGCTGTAAAGATGTTTGAGCTCCTTGTATATTCTGGATATTAATCCTTTTGTCAGATGTATATTTTGTAAATATTTTCTCCCACTCAGTTGTTGTCTTTTCACTCTGTTGATCATTTCTTTTGCTGTGCAGAAGCTTTTTAGTTTGATATAGTCCCATTTGTTTATTTTTCCTTTAGTTGCCTGTGCTTTTGGGGTCATATTCATGAAGTCTGTACCCACTCCTACTCCCAGCATTCAGGAAATGCAAATCAAGACCACTCTGAGATACCATTTCACTCTAGTCAGGATGGCTAATATCCAAAAGACTGAGAAGGATAAGTGCTGGAGAGGTTGTGGAGAAAAAGGAACTTTCACATATTGTTGGTGGGACTGCAAAATGGTACAGCCTTTATGGAAAATGGTATGGAGGTTCCTCAATTACAGATAGATCTACCATATGACCCAGCTATTCCACTGCAAGGAATATAGTCAGAGGAATGGAAATCATCATGCCAAAGGGATACCTGTTCTTCAGTGTTTACTGCAGCACTATTTACAATAGCCAAGAGTTGGAACCAGCTCAAATGTCCATCATCAGATGAGTGGATAAGGAAACTGTGGTATATCTACACTATGGAATTCTACTCTGCTATAAAAAACAATGAAATACTACCATTCCCAACAACATGGATGGACTTAGAGAAAATTATATTAAGTGAAATAAGTCAGGCACAGAAAGAGAAACAACACATATTCTCACTTATTTGTGGGAGCTAAAAAATTAATAAATAAATACATAAACAAATAAAGGGGGGGAGAAGATACAACAATCACAACAATTCCTTGAACTTGTTAAGACAAGTGAACAGATATGATG